ACGTTCAGTGGCCAATTTGAACCTTATTCCATGAAAAAAAAAAAGAGTTAAAGTTAGGTTAATTGGAAAAGTAAATGAATATTAATAATTGACTGAAAATAAAAATGATCCATAATTGACTAGAATGGAAAAGGAAATGGTCAGATCATTGCATTTTAATTTTTCACAATAATATTATACAGTATAATACATCAAATCACAATTATGTCATCAATCTTTCACAATTTTAAACAACGAAATGCAAATTAAAAATAGAACGAAAATATTTTAATAATAATACTCTACATCATCAAGTAAAAGTAAATTAAAAATGAAAAGAAAATATTTAAATAATAATATTCTACATCATCAATAGTAAAGACATATTTTAAACAATAGTAAAGATAAATTAAAAATGCAACAAAAATTAAAAATGAAACAGAAATATTTCAATAATAATATTCTACATCATTGGTTGAAAATGAAACAAAAAAGAATATTCCAATTGGCTAATTGACTGAAAATAAAAAAGAATAATTGGTTGAAAATGAATATGGCATTACAAATTGACTGAAAATATAAAAAGAAATGAATACTAATAGTTGACTGCAAATAAAAAATGATCCATAATTGATTAATATGAAAAAAAATGGTTAGATAATTACATTTTAATTAAAAATGGAACGAAAATTAAAATTTGACGGAAATATTTCAATAATAATTCTACATCATAAATAGTAAATGCATATTTTAAACAATATTAAAGATAAATTAAAAATGGAACGGAAATATTTCAATAATAATATTATACATCATCAATTAAAAATGAAACGAAAATTAGGTAAAAATGTCACATTCTAATTAACTAATTGACTAAAAATATAAAAGAATAATTTACTGAAAATGAATTTGATATTACTAATTGACTTAAAATATAAAAAGGATCGCTAATTGACTAATACTCTACCATTATATATTTTCACTCGAGTCACCTATCCTGATGGACTGAAGGTGTTAGCTCTATACGATGATGGACAGGATTGCGTTGCTACTACCAATACCAATGTCGTCTACAAAGAGGTTTCAATAATGTCTAAATACAATCGTTGATGTTATGTTTTTTTTTTTTTTAATGACAA